TGGTCCTCCGTTTATTTTCTTTTTTTTTGGTTTTTTTTTTTTTTTTTTTTTCTCTTTTTACTCTAGTTTCTTCCGTGCTTCATGCTTAAAATGCTTTGAATTTTTTGTTTGTTTTGTAGGAATTAGGATTATATCATACTTCTGCGATAAAGTTTAATGCCTTGATAATATCAAGATCACGAGCAATATTACAGGATTGCCTAATTGTTACTTAAATCTTGTTCTTTATTACCCTTTTATGGCTCAATTCAATTAGGCATATCTAGGAAATATGAAGGAAGTTCCTCTCACAATAAATTTGAATAAAAAAAATAGTTAATATTCTCTCACAAAATTAGAATTCAGAATCAAAATTACTGTTTTAAAGGATCTTGAACTAAACGGGCTAGAAGTCCTACATGTCTGATACTGTTTATGAAGTACCAAAGTTGAAGTTTTGTGATGTCTATCATTATCATTAGTTGTCTTGGTTTAAAATGTGTAAAGACGTGCTTGTGAATTTGGTACGAGGATAAAAGAATGTCACGGACAAATATGTTTATTTTTATGTTTAGATGCAATTTCCCAAACCAAATACCTTCATGAAGTTCCAAGGTTTGATTTAAGGTAATGAAAAAAAAAAAAATATATATATATATATATCCTCACTGTTTGCCGTTGGCTAGCAATTAATATGCCAACCATTAGGTATGGTTGTGAACTGAGAGCAAATGTTGCTGATACCAAAAGGCAAAAGCAATTCAGCTAACGTTGAGAGTGAAAAAAAAAAAAATATATATATATATATATCCTCACTGTTTGCCGTTGGCTAGCAATTAATATGCCAACCATTAGGTATGGTTGTGAACTGAGAGCAAATGTTGCTGATACCAAAAGGCAAAAGCAATTCAGCTAACGTTGAGAGTGAAGGCTTAGTTTACATTGGTGTTCAGCGGCGGTTTTTATGTCGCCGGTTTAAACCGAAACTTCAGTTTTTTAAAAATAACAATTGCCTGCCAAACCAAGGCATAGGAAACCGGTGCATTGCTGATCGAAATGGCTCGATTTTCGGTTTATTATGGAAGACGACAATGTGAAAAGGCCGATGGAGCTTCCCATCGCGCAACATCGGAGGAACTGACGGCAGCGAAATCGTGGCTGCTCTCTAGGGTTTCTTTGCCCAGGAAGAAGTGAAAAAGGAGAACTTGAGATTACGTTGAGGTCTGAGAGAGGAAGGCAGAGAGGGAGGCCGGAGGTATCGCTCTGCTTTTGATCGACAAAAATAAATTATTTGAATTGTTAAATCCAATTTTTTTTTTTTTTTTTTTTTTTTTTTGACAATGAGTTTGCTCTTCTATAGTCTAGTTTTTTTCCCACTGATATCAAAATTATATAATGCAGTTCTGTATTTATCCTATATGAATTTGGAGTTTGTTGACAAAGTACGACATGATATTTTTTTTAAAGCATGAATACTGCGTAATTTAGTGATGTTTTTATTCATGAATTTAGAATCATAATTTAAAATTATTTTTAATTTATGTGTGTTTTTTATAAAAAAAAATATTATAATAAATTATGAATTATAATTTAAATTAGAGCACGAATTCACCAACTAAACACACGGTAAGTCTACAAATTTTTATATCCGCCATTGAATTTCTCTTAAGAATTTTTCAAACAAAATTGAAAAGAATCTACTCTTCCAAACACAAAGCAGAGACTGACTTTTATGTTATGTGCCACAACTACTTTTCCTTGCTTTCACAGCTTTTACTCAGCAACTGCAATCATCATCTTCATCTTTGCTGGGCTTTTTTTTTTTTTTTTCTTTTTCTTCTTTTTCCAAATGGTTTGATACAAACCGGGATGGTCCATGAACTGACAAAGCAGTTAAACTTTACTGAGAAAGTAAACTACACCTTGTTCGTTTGCATAGAAAATGTGAAATGATTGTTGGCATAATGTTTGGTGCATTTCACTGGTTATTGCTTTGTAGTTTGTATGATTAATACCTTAGATTCTCTGTACTTATGTTCCAGATCTTAATGTTCAGATATTAAAGTGCTAATTAATAATTATTAGGACCACGTTTGGTTGCGTAAAGAAAGGTAAAAGAAAAAAACAGACAGAACAATGGTATCTCAATTTTTTTACAGGTTATTTGGTTAGGAGATTCGTTTCCTGATCGAATTATGATTCATGATTCGCTATAATATTTTTTCTCAGAAAAAATACGCATAAATAAAAAATAATTCTAATTACATAATTCTAATGATTCTAATCCATGAACTTAACGTTTTAATAAGTTATCAAAATTATATAATGCAGTTCTGTATTTATCCTATATGAATTTGGAGTTTGTTGACAAAGTACGACATGATATTTTTTTTAAAGCGTGAATACTGCGTAATTTAGTGATGTTTTTATTCATGAATTTAGAATCATGATTTAAAATTATTTTTTATTTACGTGTATTTTTTATAAGAAAAAATACTATAATAAATTATGAATTATAATTTAAATTAGAATACGAATTCACCAACTAAACACACGGTAAGTCGTCAAATTTTTATATCCGCCATTGAATTTTTCTTAAGAATTTTTCAAACAAAATTGAAAAGAATCTACTCTTCCAAACACAAAGCAGAGACTGACTTTTATGTTATGTGCCACAACTACTTTTCCTTGCTTTCACAGCTTTTACTCAGCAACTGCAATCATCATCTTCATCTTTGCTGGGCTTTTTTTTTTTTTTTTCTTTTTCTTCTTTTTCCAAATGGTTTGATACAAACCGGGATGGTCCATGAACTGACAAAGCAGTTAAACTTTACTGAGAAAGTAAACTACACCTTGTTCGTTTGCATAGAAAATGTGAAATGATTGTTGGCATAATGTTTGGTGCATTTCACTGGTTATTGCTTTGTAGTTTGTATGATTAATACCTTAGATTCTCTGTACTTATGTTCCAGATCTTAATGTTCAGATATTAAAGTGCTAATTAATAATTATTAGGACCACGTTTGGTTGCGTAAAGAAAGGTAAAAGAAAAAAACAGACAGAACAATGCTATCTCAACTTTTTTACAGATTGTTTGGTTAGGAGATTCATTTCTTGATTCGAATTATGATTCATAATTTGCTGTAATATTTTTTCTCAAAAAAAATACACGTAAATAAAAAATAATTCTAATTACATAATTCTAATAATTCTAATCCATGAACTTAACGTCTTAATAAGTTTAAAATAACGCACATTGACTTTTTCTCCACTTGCAAGTTGAACTTTTAAGCTTATTGATTTAGCATTTTAACAATCTTTGATAATACAATCCCTCGATGGTTGGTAAACGACAGGCAATAAATTCTTAACATGGTAATTTTTTTTTTTTTAAATTGTGTTTCATTTGTTAACTTACATAAATTTTGGGTGCATTTTTTTAATTAATAACATATATGTCCATTTAGGCCCACAAATTGTTATATTTACACGGAAGTTTGTAAAATAATTCGTAATGATATTTCTATCAATTGTAATCGCCCTTAAAAATGAAATAAGTTATTATTCAAATTCATAACCACTTAAAAAAAAGTATATTCAAAATGGTATTTATCTCAATAATCATGAAATGGACGCGTCGAAAATATTGTTAAATTAAAGTCATATTCTCAATAAAGAGTTTAAAAGTAATCATTTCGTATAATTAGTATAATTTTTTTGATAAAGTCCTAGGACATTTCATACATAATAACCTCGATTAGTTATTAAGGGCTTGTTCAATTGTATTTTTTAGTTATAGTGACTTGAGTGTAGATTTTGAGTTGAATTTGAGTTATAACTTGATTTTGTGTTTGGATATGCACATTTGAATTATAGTTTGAATTGAGAATCTATTTGAGTTTGTGTTTGAATAGGTTAAAACTTGAATTTGTATTTAGATAATATTTTAATAAAAACTCAATAGTAATAGAAAATTTTAATAGGATATATGAGTGACGTTTATTTTTTTTCATTGTGAACGCATAGAAAAAAATCATCTCAATCTGAATTAAAACAAAAAAAAATTATTAGATCGCTAACCAAATAAGAAACAAAGAAACTACAAATCATTTGCAAAATTTCAAAAGGTTAAAAAAAAAATTGTACTTTGGCAAGGCAGTTTCATTAATTTGGCTTAAAAGATTTTCGAAAAATAAGAAGTAAAAACTTAAATAATTTGGTTTAAAAAATTAAGGGGAATAATGTAATCCAGTATGAAATACAGTAGATTCGTGATTCCCAAACAGCCGCATTAAAAGTGACGAACCAATCGCTATCAAATTTTCAGTTTTCCCTCCACTCTCTCTCTCTCTCTTTCTCTCTCCTCTTTCTTTTTCTCTCTCTTCTATTATATATATTCTTTCTCTGTTTCAGTGTGTCCTCTTTTGAATCTCAGATAAGGTAACCCCCAATACTACTTCTCTCTCATCCTTGCCCCTTTTTCGCCTTTCCTAGGGTTTCGATTTTTGCCTGGTAAGTTTTTCCCCTTTCTTATTTTTCCCCTCATTTTGTACCGCTCGTTTTTTTTTTTTTCTTTCTTTCTTTCTGTCAACTTTTTCTCGAATAAATGTTTTACGTTTTGGTAAAAAGTTGTAACCTTCTCGCAGATCTGTTGCGTTTTTTTTTGCGAAAAATTGAATATTTTTTTGTTTGTTTCTCTCTGTGTGTGTGTGTGTGTGTGTGTTTTTTTTTTGTTTTTTTGTTTTTTTGGGTAATGTCTAAGATCCTGTGTTTTAGGTTCCTTGAAAAAAAAAAGTTTCTTTATGTGTGATTCATTGCCATAACCACCCTTGCTGCAATATCCTTTTATTTTTGTTTTCTAGGGTATTTACACTGTATATACTTCATGTTTGAGATTTGGTTTTTATGTCATATGTTAAACATATAATAATGTTTAAGAAATGCTTCTTTTGTTGAAAATAAGCATACCCAAAAGTTAGTCTGACTCTTGAGCTTGTAGTAGAGCAAAATTCCAATATTAGTCTCCAGCACTTATGTGTGTGTGTATATATGTATTGTATGTTTGTACGTATGTATATTGTTACTGAACTGTTTAGAGAATGAATAAGTTTTGTGCTTGTATATATATAGTCTTTCTTTTGGCCCTTTGAAGTAGTATTTTGAATGTGACGCGTTTTAAATTTTGTAGGTTGTTTCAGAATGGATTCAAAAACTCTGAATTCTCAAAGCCATCAATTTTCCATTAAGCTGTGGCCTCCAAGCCAAAACACAAGGAAAGTGCTTGTGGAGCGGATGCTAAAGAATCTCACGACTGTGTCCATTTTCACTGAGAAGTATGGCACTTTGAGTGAGGAAGAGGCTAAAGAGAATGCCGAGTACATTGAAGATGTGGCTTTTTCGACGGCAGACGAGCATTACAAGAAGGAGCCAGATGGTGATGGAGGTTCTGCCGTGCAGCTTTATGCGAGAGAATGCAGCAAGCTCCTCCTGGATGTTCTTAAAGGAGTTCTAAAAATCAAGGACAAGAAGGTGCCGTCTGAAAATAACATTGTAACCCAAGAAACATTTTTTGATATTTCTAAAGGCCAGCGCGCCTTCATTGAGGCTGATGAGGCTGAGATGCTCCTAAAGCCATTGACGGAGCCCGGGAATTCTTACTCGAAGATTTGCTTCAGCAATAGAAGCTTTGGTTTGGAAGCAGCCTGTGTTGCTGAACCCATTTTGGCTTCTCTTAAAAGTCAGTTGAGAGAAGTGGATTTGTCTGATTTTGTTGCAGGAAGACCAGAGGAAGAAGCTCTTCAGGTGATGAATATATTTGCGGCTGCGTTGGAGGGGAGTGTTTTGAGGTCTTTGAATCTCTCGAACAATGCCTTGGGTGAGAAAGGTGTAAGGGCATTTGCAGCACTGCTCAAATCACAAGCTGAGTTGGAGGAGCTCTATTTAATGAATGATGGCATTTCAGAAGAAGCTGCTCAAGCAGTTTCTGAGTTGATTCCTTCCACAGAGAAACTCAAGATCCTTCATTTCCACAACAACATGACAGGAGATGAAGGTGCGGTTGCCATCTCCGAGGTGGTGAAGCGCTCCCCTCTGTTGGAGGACTTCCGTTGCTCCTCTACAAGGATAGGCTCCGAAGGAGGAGTTGCCTTGTCCGAAGCACTAGGTACTTGTGCCCACTTGAAGAAGCTCGATCTGCAGGACAACATGTTTGATGTTGAAAGTGGAATTGCGTTGAGCAAAGCACTTTCCAAGCATTCAGATTTGAGAGAAGTCTATCTGAGATACCTAAACCTGGAAGATGAGGGGACAATTGCTATTGTAAACGTTCTAAAGGACTCAGCTCCTTCACTCGAGGTTTTGGAGATGGCTGGTAATGAGATAACAGCCAAAGCTGCTCCTGCTCTAGCAGCTTGTATAGAGTCAAAGACTCTTCTAACCAAGCTGATTTTGTCCGAGAATAAACTCAAAGATGAGGGTGCTATCCAGATCAGCAAGGCGTTGGAAGGTCTTTCGCAGTTGATTGAAGTTGACATGAACACTAACTTAATAAGAAGGGCCGGGGCTCGCCTTTTGGCTCAGACAGTGGTTCAGAAGTCAGGTTTCAAGTTGCTGAACATCAATGGGAACTTCATCTCCGACGAAGGCATCGACGAGGTGAAGGACATTTTCAAGAAATCTCCAGAGATTCTTGGGTCCTTGGATGAGAATGACCCGGAAGGAGAAGACGACGATGGCGACGACGAATCTGGAGAGGGCGAAGGTGACAATGATGAAGAATTAGAATCAAAGCTGAAAAACCTCGAAGTTGACCAACCGGAGTAGAGGTCTGTCATTCATCGCAAGTGGGATTAAATTATTATTTAGGATGACTCTTCTACTGAATCTTATTTTGCACAAGTCAGGTAGCAGAAGCAGTAGCCAGCAGTAGGATTTATTGTAATGGGGTTTTAATTTTCCATTTTGTTTTACTTTGTTTTTGAGACCTTAGTCGTCTATCATGTTCTTAGAAAGCTCGGCAAAAGATACGTCTCTGTTCTTGTTAGAGTTGCCATTTCCGGGATTTAAATTGTACTCGCTCTTTTTGTAACACACCAAAGCTATCTTTGATGGTGTGACATCTGACAGTGAGTATTTAGTGAAACTTAAGATTCTTATTCTAAGGTTTGTTTTGTTATTTTATGGTTAAAGCATCTCCATTCAGTCTATAATCTGTTGGTTTCCAAACACAAGATTTGCTTATATTTTACTATGAGGGGAAGCATTGAAATGACATTTAGGATATTAAGGGTTGTTCTTTTGCGATAAATTCAGAAAAAAATTTAAATTTGAGTTATAATTTTATTTAAGTTTATGTTTTTCTATAAAATTTGAGTTTAAACTCGAGTTTAGGTTAAACACGAGTTTAAGTTTTTCTTTTAACTCGAATTCATAAACTCGAACTCAAGTTAATGAATAGTATTTTTTCTATTCTTAAAAATGTCATAATTTTTTCGTTTAAATTCTGATTGAGATGATTTTTTTTCTATGCATTCACAACGAAAAGATGAATAAAACTCCACTTATATATCCTATTAAAATTTTTCATCACCATTAAGTTTTTATTAAAATACTATATAAATACAAATTTAAATTTTGACCCACTTAAATACAAATTCAAAAAGATTCCCAATTCAAATCATAACTCAAATATGCACATCCAAACACAAACTCAAGTTACAACTTCAACTCAAGTTATAACTCAAATTCAACTCAAAATCATCACTCAAATCACCTTAACTCAAAAATGCAAAAGAACAACCCTAAGTTCCGTTTATTTCGTTGGTTTGAATTATAATTTAGGTTTTTATTACAGTGTTTTCTTTTATAAAATTCAAATTTAATTTTTTTACTATAATATTTTTTCTTACATAAATTCACTTTTCAATTCAACTTGAGTTTAAAAGTTTATTCAGCGAATCAACACTTTTCAATTCAACTTGAGTTTAAAAGTTTATTCAGCGAATCAACGGATTTCCTAAAAATGGTCTTAAACTATGCAAATGATGATTATTATTGTATAATGAGCGGATTTCCTAAAAATGGTCTTAAACTATGCAAATGATTATTATTATTATTTAATTTTTAACTTGTAGTGTATAATCAATGGGATTATCATAACACAAAGGTACCACTATGATAATAAATGAAAAAAAGAAAAAAAAAACCTACAGCATATGAGAACAATTAGTTCTGAAAAGAAAAAAGAAATGTAGACATCTTTGATTGATTTGTTTGATAATGGTACCTAAAGGATACGAAAAATAAAGAGATCATTTCACAATTGTTGATAATTATACACTGTTGCTAATTAGCACAAGCCATGTTACAAAGCAGCAGAACTTAACAAATTGAAGCATTAGCCATCTCCAGACCATCCCTAAAAGGTCGGAGGATGTGTAATTGTCCTGAGAAGTCAGCTAGTTAGCTAAAAGCATGGCACAGCTCAAACCCATGCACAAAAGTTAGTTGGGGGAATCTAAATCTAATCTAAATATATAAAAAGAAAAAATGAGGAATTTCTATCCGATCTTTCATTATCATGCCCATCCATTGCCTCTTCTGTTGGAATTCTGGCCTCTAGAATCAGATAATGAACTTTGATAAGAATAGCTTGATCTCTTCTTTTTGTGGGTGTTCCAAGTCAATATCTGCCCATTCCAACCACGTGGCCCAACACCATAATAGTCGTGTTTCTCCACACTTTCCGCTTCGGTTTTGAGTCTCTTCGGTGCTGGTGTCTGATACTGATAGGTATCTTCACTTGTTCCCTCACTCCCGAGAGGCGTATTTTCAGTCAATTCTACAACCTTTTCTTCTTCCCCACCATTGCTATTGTTACTAGCCGCACTGGTCTCGGGTTGAAAGTGGTTCTTTCTTTTCCCTTTGCCAGAAAGCTTTGGTATGTCCTCTCCATTTTCGACGGCTTTCATCCATTGTAAATCACTCAGGGTGTCGGCATAAACCACCTCCTTTCTTCGTCGTTTTCCAGTGATGCTGCCACTGTCAGTTCCCTTGGTTGCACCTTCCTTGTTATCAGGTTTAGAATATGCCCACTCAGGAACCTCATTGTCTTCCATAAGGCGAGATCTGTAATTCTCCTTTTGCCTTCTCTCCTCATCCATTTTCTCGAACAACCAGAATTCCTCATCTGATCGAGCAGCAAGGCGATTGATTTCTCTCTCACTTGGCACGTCCGTCCCGAGTGAGCTTGTGCCTCTGCGCATGATCTCTTCCAACATCTCTCTTCTATCTTGAGCTGCAGAAAAAAAAAAAAGAAAATATATTATTAATAATGATAATTTCTGCCTCTAATAGAAAGTTACCTTCGACGTAAACAAAACATAACAGTGTCCTCATTTTAGGCATAATGGAGTATAACATTGTAACTACTCTAAAGCAAAAGAAAAGAAAACAATCTACTCTCCGTGTTATTCTGGACCTGCAGTAAGCAAAAGATACAGCAGGTGGCGACACAACATATGAATTCGCTTAATAAGCTCAGGTTCGAAAAAATCATGACAAGTACATAAGAACAGTATTTGAAGTCAATAAGCAAAGTGGAAGACAACAAACCTGTTGAAGTTGTATTGAATAGTCCAGCCTGGATGACCTTAGCATCTATACCCATCTTTTGTTTAGCACGTTCCAAGATGACCTCTTCAATTGATCCAACACTAACCAATACAAAGACTCTAACTTCCTTCTTTTGTCCAATACGGTGGGCACGATCCTCTGCCTGTTGGTCCATTTGGGGATTCCAATCACTGTCAAAAATAAAGACAGTATCTGCTGTTTGCAAGTTCAAACCAAGACCCCCGGCACGAGTACTGAGCAGAAACATGAAGTAAGGAGACTCTGGAGCATTAAATTTCTTTAGCAAACTCCCTCTTTCCTCAGTTTTCGTCGAACCATCCAGCCTAAGGTACTTATAATCGTGAAGTTGCAGATAGATTTCAAGAATGTCCATGAGGCGAGTCATTTGTGAAAAAAGTAGGATCCTGTGCCCAGCCCTATGGAGTTTCGGGAGTAAACGATCAAGCAGTTCGAATTTTCCCGATGCTCTGATAATCTCCTCCTTGCGCCACATATTATAATCTCCCAAAACAAAAAGATATGGGTGGTTACAACATTTCCTCAGCTGCATTGTGAGGTTCTGTAGACTCTTTGACTTTCCAGTACCTACAATAAAGTTAAATTTTCTTCAGTAAAACATATGGTAACAGCAGCAATATGAAAACTGATTCCTTTCCGATGCAAAAGCATTTCAAGAAACATGAGTTCCAAAACCGTAAAGCATGCATGTAGGGAACCGAGCTACAAACCATTATCTAACCCAACTCTGCCCAGATCAGTAACTTGTTGATAATATACTTTTTGCCATGCTGACATATCACATTTCAATATGACCTGGGTTTTCCCAGGGAGGTATTTCTCCACCTCATCTTTTTTCCTCCTCAATATGAACGGCCTTATAACCTATAAATCAATATACATGAGATAAGTTAAAAAAGAAAAGGGGAAAAAAAAGGAATTAAAAAAAAAAAAAAACCCATGAGACAATACATACATGATGCAAACGGCGAATAATTAATAACTGCTCTTCATCAGTAAGAGAAATATCGCCCCGATCCGCAAATGGTGCATTAAACCAATCCTCAAAGTTTTGAACTGAGTTAAAAATGTGCGGAAGAAGAAAATTAAGCAGAGACCATAGCTCCTGCAGACTATTCTGTATTGGGGTACCAGTCAATAGAAGTCTACGCTTCATCTCATAACTGCATAGAAGTAAAAACTTGATGAGAAACCTATTGCATTAAAATGGAAAAACTAAAGTTGGAAACTAATATGCAAACATGGTAGAACAATAATTCCAAACGAATTCACAAACCAAAAATTAATAAATAGTGGGAAAACATAGAAAACAGCCACGTAGCTGAATATGCTTAAAAAAAAAAAAAGAAAAACAGATGTGAGGGAGAGGAAGAAATTCATATTTTAACACCAATTTGTTTAAACTCAATGCAATTTCTCATGAAATAACCTCAGTCAATCATGCTGACTAATTGGAGAGAGAGAAGAGTGTTTTCACCCTTTTGAAGAATACTCATCAGAGTAGGTGATAAACAGATTTGAAACGGTGGTCCAAAAATCCATGAAACGGATTTGAGGATAAATAAATCGAAAAGGATTTAAAAGATTGAAAGAGCAAGCAAACTTTAATTAATACCAAATGTTGAAACATTGATGATGGAAGACCTTGATTGTACATTTAGCATATCTTACCCTGCAAGTGTCTGCGCAAGAGCACATTCATGATTCTTCAGCCTATGGCCTTCATCGACAATCAGGTAGTACCAGGGAATTTTCTTTAAAAATGTTTTATCTCGCATAATCAGGTCGTAATGTGTTATCAACACATTAAATCTTCCTTCACCTGTTAAATCTTCCTTCATTGCCTTTCTCTCATCTTGACGCCCATCATAAAGAACCGCCGCAATACTAGACCAAGTAGAGAAATCCCTTAGTACCTCAAAACTCTGTGCAAGTGTGAGAGGGATATGTTAAACGATAATTCAAACATACCTAGGAGCCCATGTTGAGAATTCATTCACCCAATTTGGCAGTACTGCCTTTGGAGCAACTATCAAGTGGGGTCCCATCACACCCTTGTACTCTATGAGGTATGCGATTAAAGAAATGGTTTGTATTGTTTTTCCTAGTCCCATCTCATCAGCAAGAATTCCATTTAGGTTGTTATTGAACAAGGAGAGCATCCACTGAAGCCCTTCTAATTGGTAAGGCCTCAATTCACCACCTTGTAGTGTGGATGGTTGCTCTGTTACCTACAAAATGTAAAACTGCAGTAAGACAATCTTGTTCCAAAGCACTTCCCGTTGGGACATTGCAAGAGTAAACTGATGGCTGAACCTCAAATTTGAGGAATCTTAACTAGTATAACATTAACAGGGAGATACATGCATTTCCATATGGCTCTCATCAAATACTTGTTGGCACTAAACAGTAAAGAACTATGCAGCGAAAATGAATATGAAAACCACAAAGATATATAAACAAACCGCTGCAAGTGTAATGCATAGAAAGATTGGACGAGCAGGACTAGGGAAACTCCCAAAGAAGTCCAATAACAGAAAATAGATATAGTATTGCACTTATCACAATAGTACTTCAGAGCATTCAAACTTTAATTATTTGTGACCCACTCAGATATACACCAGAAGTCATAAACTGGTTAACATCTACAAGGGATGTCAGTGCCCTTGTGTTCATATTAAAATGTGATACAATGTACAAATAGAAACAAGACATAGAGGTAAATCAATAAATAAGAAAGTATAGATGAAGAAAACAATTTGATGCAAGGGTAAGGTTCTTAAAGATTACCTTCTCCTGAATGGAGTGAATAGCTGAGTTATACTGCCGCTGACCTTCAAGTAAGTCACCGGGATCCTCATTGTGATCAGAATCAATGAGTTCTGATTGGTCCTCCAAATCCGGTGAATCAGATTCTGAGTCCTTCAACAGCTCAATGCCTTCTGAAACTTTATAATCTTTCTGACGTTGAACAGCAGCACCCAAGTTAGCAAGGAGTTTATTCGTTTCTTCGAGAAGTGTTGTCAATCGTTCATTCTTGCTCTCCTTCACCATTCTCATATATGCTTCTTGATCATCAGCCTTCAATGCTTGGAACCTCAATTTCTCAGCTCTTGTAGCACGCTGCCTTTGCCTTCCATGCCATGCCTGTTTAAACAAAGTATTCTTATAAGGATTCTTTAGCTTTATCAGAATAAGCAGTACTAGTGTCATCCATGAATTATTCTCATCTTTCCTACGACAACCATTATTTTGAGCATTTAAAAAGCTAATTAAGACCATAGTCTAGTCTCCATGCTGTATATATCTCTGTGGTCCCATGTAAGATTTTGAAGAGAGGGAGGGAGAACGTACCAGGACTCCATCGTTCCTCTGTTTTCGACGCTTTAAAGTAGCCTGAATTTGCAATTGGAACTCACGAACTGCATTAAGGATTTCCGCAAAAAATTTTCTTTTTCGAGTTTCAATCTGATTTTTCTCCTCCTCCGCTAATCTTGACAGCCTCTGCATCGAACATTTTCAATCTTTTAGTATCCGATTAATTTCCAACATACAGTTCCTTTACACATGCCATATATCTAAATTATCACCTAATTACAATAAAATTGCCCATTCATTTTTGAGTTTTGACAATTTATACGCATACTAACCTCAGCATCCCGTTTCTTCCTGAATTGATCATCAGCCTCCATGGCAAAAGCATCACCAACACCATACAGTGGGCGTCGCAACCGCATCATCCCCCAATCAAATAATTGTTTGTCAGGATATGAACAAGTTGTGCGAAGCCAATACTCTGAACTCACATCGGATCGGACCTTCCTTTGTAAATCTGCTAACTGTCAGAAAAGAAGTCCTTGCCCACAAGGACAGAATACGTGTTATTTCTCAGTAATAGAATCAATTGGCATAGTTTCTAACAGAAACTCCTTTAGCTACATAATTTAGTACTACAAAAAGATACAAGCTTCCTAACAATAAAGCCTTTGACTCATTGCCTGTGTTTTGGCATCACAAGCAACTCCTCAATAAATTCTCAATGAAACATAATCAGAGTCTTGCTTCTGGAAATGGGACAAAACGGTTAATTCCACTTCAAAAAAAAAAAAAAAAAATTTCTGCCCGACGAAATTATTTTTTGGGAAGCAAAATTACATCCAGATTCTTCCTACTCTGCCTTGCAGAATACATAATTCACATACATTAATCACTTGAAAGGGAGTTCCAAGTCAATTTAGTGCATCAAGTTTTACCTTTAGTCCATAAAGTTCAAGCAAGCACTTCATCTGCAGGTCCTCTCCTCTACTTGACGGTAATTCTAATTGGAACAATCATAAACGCATAACAAATCAATTAGTAACAAAAATTTGCCAGCATAAAACGAAAAGAATAATCCTCTTTCCTGTCCCATAACTGAAGAAAATAATACATTGAGCGGTTAAATGCATACAAAGTAGTTACCTTCAAGTTCAGTTAATCGATGCTGAATGTGGCTTTGATAACGATTTTCCCTTAATTCTGTTAATTCAGAACTTGCCATGCAATTTGGACGTTGTTTCAATAGTGCCTCTTGAAGGTCGGGCAATAAATCTTCCGAAAGATTACCATGATCAGCCTGTGTCATGATAATCAAAATTAACATAAAAAATATATATATATATATATATATATATCGAAAAAACAATTCTAGGTACTAAACATAAGTAGTTATCAACTCAAAACCACTAAAAATGTTTGATTCCCTAACCTCCCCAACATGAAGGAATACAACACTAGTCAAGATTGACCATATGCACCACACTAAACATCAACAAGGGAAAAGGTTCTGCTTAAAAGAGAGTGCTACCGTATATGTGTTCAAGTTGTTCTGAAAAGAGAACTTTGTATGGAAAAACTTAAACCAAAAACACAAACCACACACATCAATTTCAGATAAAAAGCTCTTTCATTGGAGAAAAAACTAAAACAGAAACTTTCAATTCCTTTGATTAGGACCTAGAACATTTTTTTGGGCTAATGAACGGGAAAAAACAACTTAAATCCTTTAGATTGCACGAGCTTCATCATCATTACCATCACTAATGTTCTAGTAATCAATCATGAATTTTTAAAAACAACGACCATTCAATCCCAACCAACCCAAAATACAAAGTACTCAAAAAAAAAAATGAAAAAAAAAAACTCAATCTTCAAGAGATATAAAAGAAAATAGTCTGCAACAAAGAGACCAAATCTCCCAAAATTCCCAATAACTAGACAAAACCGAGAAAACCCAGAAACGAAAGTCGAAAGAAACAAGAAAAGGGTGTCCGAAGAAACCATACATGGTCGTCAACGTCGTCGGCTTTGTCGGCATCTCGGGAGTCGTGATAGATGGAGGAAACGGCAGCGAAAAGATCTTCGGAGAGAGGGAGATTGCGAGAGACGGCGTTGAGAGCGGAAATCAGGGACTTGGTCTGGTGGTAGTCCAGAGAAGAAGGTTCTGGAGGTGGGTGGGTCTGCCTCTGGCTCTCCAGCTGAGCCATGGCTATGGCGGGAGAGAGAGAATTAGAGAGAGAAAACCGGTCCTTTTTTAACGGCTATTTAAAAATATAAAGAAAAAAAAATTATATAAATTGAGAAAAGAGTTAAGAGAAAGGGTTTTAATCTCTGTTGTGTTGTATACAAAAATAAAAAACACCCCTCTTTCTCACTCTACAATCGTTTTTCTTTTGTTTTCGCTTCGCAAACCCTTATTTTGCTTCGGCGCTTCTCTCTCTCTCTCTCTATAGATATCTTTCGTTTTGTTTTGGGGGAGGATAGGGGTTTAATTACGGAAGGGCCCTTGGTTATATACGCTAGGTCCAAACGCGGCTCTGTGAGATTACGGAATGACGAAATTACCCTTATCAAGATATTAAAAGTACAATTTGCACCTTGACCATATTTGAGGCCGCGTTGATTTCACCGATTCAGGTTTAGAATTCGAGTTTTACTATAATAAAAAGTTCTCAGAAACAATCAAATATAACTTTTTTATTATAGTAAAAGTCAACTCGAATTAAAAACTCGAATCAGTAAACTAAATGGGCCCTGAAAATACAATTTACTCTTCGACTTTTTTTTCCCTCACTTTAGTTTTTTTTTTTTCCTGCTCCTAACGTACAAAAATTTTTTCAAACAGGCCCCGTTCTTTTCGTTGATTCGAGTTTAGAATTCGAGTTTTGCTACAGTAAAAAGCTCTAAAAAACAGTCACATTTAACTTTTTTGCTACAGTAAAAAACTCTCACATAACATCACATCTCAACTCGAATTAGCGAACCGAACGGAACATCCGTACGGTTAAAATTTGAATTGTTTTTGTCGAGAGGATACGACAACAAAATAAATTTATGAGATCTTTTTTAACCTCTCCCCCAACTCGAATTAAAAACTCGAATTAGCGAACCGAACGGAACATCCGTACCGTTAAAATTTGAATTGTTTTTGTCGAGAGGATACGACAACAAGACAAATTTATGAGATCTTTTTTAACCTCTCCCCCAACTCGAATTAAAAACTCGAATTAGCGAACCGAACGGAACATCCGTACGGTTAAAATTTGAATTGTTTTTGTCGAGAGGATACGACAACAAAATAAATTTATGAGATCTTTTTTAACCTCCCCCCCCAACTCGAATTAAAAACTCGAATTAGCGAACAGAACGGAACATCCGTACCGTTAAAATTTGAATTGTTTTTGTCGAGAAGATACGACAACAAGACAAATTTATGAGATCTTTTTTAACCCCCCAAGAAAAATTTAAATCTAGTCAAGACATAATACTACATAGAAGTTCATAGTTAGAAGAAAGTAAAGCCCAAACTAAGAGAAAGCGCAGCAGATCTTGTCATCATTCTGCTAATTGCCATGTAGGTTGTCTTCAAAGCAGAGATAATTTTTTGATACAAGACGTTGAATTATATTTTTGAAGTTTGCGGCATTGAGGTTAAGAGAAATGCTAGCGTCCACATATCAAACAGTTAATGCAAAAAGTGACAGAGTAACAGAAAGAGTGAAGCTAGCATTTCTCGAAAGGTTAAATATTGAGATTAGAATCATACATTAAGCCACTCTTACTTCTTTTGTAAAGTAGCAGCACAAGAAGTTCATCTTGGCCAAGCAAATTATTATTCTGATAAAGGGATTTGAACTCTCATCAAGCATTGAATTGGAGTAATTGTCATTTAAATCTGGAATACGATACGAGTAACCAAAATTCATACTCTTCTTGCAGTGTAGTTGCAAGAGAGTACTTGGATTACATCAAACTCTGAAAATAAGTTCTTCAAAATTGGTATAATGAATTCATGTAATAGCATTGAAGTACCACTGCCTTCAGAATCTGGATTTAAGACTACAAATCTCAGTCAACTCAAAGAGTTTTCCCCAATTCTCCAAATATAAGTTTGGCACAAGAATATTTGGTAAACATCTGCTAGACCTAACGACTTGCTAAGAGAAAAATGGAGAAGATCAGAAAGAAGATAAATCATATCTCCATGTTTGGAAGACTAATTCATTTTGTTGTCCTGATCTTGTCATCTCGTTAACAGCCAAGTTACGAATCTGAAGAATTGCGATAGATCTTGCATCTTCGCTAACATGAGTCACACGATATAGTTGTGAAGTTCTCAACGTTCTGCCATTAGTTGACTTCAGTAGACTGTTAAATGCTTTCCAGTGCTCGGCTGATAGGTTCTTGGAAATATTGGAGAGAGATTAAAATCGCTTCCTGTTCATTACAATGCAAAAAATGCTAATTACCATGTGAAGTTAGGATTATCTAGTTTTCGTGGAGAATTACATGCGGAGAAGATATGGAAAGTACCTCAGTCCGAATTGTTCGACTACCCTGGTGCGGACATGTGTTCAAATATGAATCAAATACCTCCTGTGCATCTTTTACCTTCCAACAAGGGCAATTAGAAACTTAGCACGTAGTTATCTTTCTATCTTCTCGCCTTTTTATCAAAAAAGCAACTTGAAAATACCAAACGCTCAAGAGCACCGTACCTTCAAATAAGTGTCCTCCTCAATGCTCTCTTCCAACCCAGCAAGCCCACCAAAAGCAATTAATAGATGCCTAGCAAACCAGGCATACAAATACAACAAGGATCAGTAAAGGACGGAATGGATAGATGAAATCAAATATTTAAACGTAACAAATCACAAGCAGTTTTGAGGGCCACAATAATTTATCAAAGAAAATTAAATTCAGAACAAGACAGCAAAGTTAAATACAAGTTCTGTAACTAAACATACTTGAAGGTAGGTATAACAAGATCAGATGATTTAACAATCGAACCACGCTCCGAGGTTCCAATCAAATGATCATAGCCACCCTGTGATTCGAAACCACAAGTCAATCAAGGGGTCTTGTAACTATATGGTTAGTTTAATGATAAATGGAGTCAGATATCCATACCTTGTATGAGCATTCCCTAAATACCGAACTAAGATTAGAAGCATATCTCACTTTATAACCCCAATATGTTCCTGCTTCTTCCCTCGGCTTGGAGGATGAAACAACCTGGCGTAGTGAATCTAGAAAAGATAAACATACAATTGAGCTCACTGACATTCCAAACAATTGTACCAAATCGATTAAAGAAACAAAATGGAAAACAATAAGCATCAACTATTTTTGAAAAGTGAGAAACACTGAGGGGGAGTGGTGTCTACTTTGCAACTTCATAAACATTCTACCCAATATTTATTCACACGAAAAATTAGATCTCCCCTGATTGATATTAAGACGCAACTTCTGAAGGAAAAAAAAAAAATTTCAGAGAGGGGGGGATCATTTGTTTACCTGAACCCAGATTGCGTTCAGTTCCCATAGCCACGGTAACTCTTGTTCCAGGGTCAATTACTTGATCAACAGTGACATTCTGCATATTTTACCATCCTATTCATAAACAAACACATCTATTGGAGACTTTTTATATAAAGTTGTTTATTACTTGAGTGACTGAAAGAGTGGGATTCATTCAAAGTGCAAATGCAGGGAATAGTGAGAAATGAACTTCATAAGAATTAAGAAATAAAGTACAAGCGAGAAAAACACGAGAAGCTTTGTCTGAAATCTTAATGTACAACATACAGATAAAAAGTGTAACCATGATAGACAGAGCTAATGCACTGAACACAAATTTCCAGGCTACAAAAAAAACAGAAGAAACGAATAAAATTTTCTGATAGTGAAGAAAAATGAACTTGACAGAGCATAGAAGCTGACAATACCTTATTTAAACCCACGTCAACTAGTGTTCCCAACGAGTTTGGAGATTTTTCTTTAAGTGTGACACCTATGAAGTTAAAACAAGATATCATAAAGAATTGCTACAGAGAAAAGATTAAAGTAGTTTTTCAATTTTAGGCCAGTTGAGCAAAAGAAGTTTCCAAGTCTCTTCAACAACTACGCACTGGAACTTTCCGTGTACAACATCAATACCTTCGCGAAACGGAGCCCACTCATGTTTGCGCAGATGATGCGGGGCATCAAGTGGCGGCAACATGCCCTGCAAAAGAACAAGTAACAAAACAGCCTTAGCTCACCCCAAATGAACCACACACTATCCGAAACAAAAATGACAAAAGCAAATCAATTCATCACATTGGGTTCTCACCACAAATCTTAAGCTGTTGTGCCTTGGGAACAGCGCTTTTCTCAAGTACTGTGGCGTTTCAAGGTAGTTCAAGATTCTTATAAGAAAAGCTGCCCCACTTTCATCCTCATCTGAGTTATCTTGAGCTGTAATGCTAGATCCGTTTTCTGAGCTACTCTTATTGTCAAAAACAACAACCTGTATGCATTCCAAAATCCTATATTAATTACACTTCTCATTCCTTCAATTGTCTATATATATGTATATATACATACATATATATATATATATATGTGTGTGTGTGTGTGTGTGTGCGCGCGCGCGCGCGTGTTGCACTAAAAAGCTCAAACAATGTCCAATACTTTTCAACATCAGTTCATATAATTAATCATCGGTTTCGCTTAATCATCAACTAAATATAGTTTGAAATGAGAATTACAGAGAGAAACCTCGTCGACTCGGAAAATGGTTGCGGCGCGGGCAATCTGACCAGCCAACTGCAAATGAATGACAAAAAAGGAGAAGCAATTCCTGTTACGATTTTCTCGGAAACCAAACAGAAAAAATTAGAGCTTTAGAACAGAGAGAAATACTCGAGTGGCGAGTTCGAGAGACTGTGCGTTGTTAATGATAGAACCGGCCACGGCTAGGCTGACAGTAGGTATTTCCTTGGCTTCAACTCCGTCTTCTTTGTTCTCATTCTCCTTCTCCTTCTTCTTCTTTTTCTTTCTTTTGTGAGAGTCGCCATTGATAAGCTCAACCTGGTGTTCCGGCTCTTGCTTTTCGGTGTTCTCAGTTTCTGCTTCTCTCTTCTTCTTCTTCGCCATTGACAAGGGTTTTCACTTTCACTCTTTCAGAGTTGGGACTCGGGGTTTTGCGCCTCTTTGCTTTTTGTTTCTGCCAGGTCTCCCCTTTTTTTTTTTGGATGCTTTACAAATAAAATTACAAAAACCTCCTTCCATTTGAAATTAGTTTCAGTTTGATCCAAAATATTTTGCACGTCTTTTTTTCTTTCCGTGTTCAGTTGTTATAGTTTATACTGTCGATACTCACAATAATAACTTACTATTATTACAAGGGTAAGTTTAGGCTGTGCCGGTCTGAGGCTCGCTATAGTTGGCTCGGACTCAGTCGTGTCCGGTCATAACTTCCGAGTTAAGGTTTTAAATCTAAAAATTTATTCGAACCGAATCAAATGCCATCTTTTTAAAGATTTTTTAAAAAATACTTTATAGAATTTTAGACATAATCCCATTTAGAGTCGGGCCGGCCCAACCTAAAATTTTCATTTGAGTCTTCGGATCGAGCCGAGCGGTCCGAACTTTCATATCTAACTATTATAATTGTTAAATTAGTTATCACAAGTTCTTGTAGTTTATAAAATAATGTTTCTTAATAATTATAATAATGACCTGTGGTACTTATGTAATAGTAACACAACAAAATTAGACTCACTATTGTTTAAGAAAATATTATTTAGTGCTATAAAAAGTAGGAATTTTTTTCGGTATGCCAACATACTGATAGGTCAAATTTTCTATCCATTGAATTTGTACAAAATCACATAAAAATAAAAAAAAAACGCAGATTTAATAGTTAAAAAAATATGACCTATTGGTACGTCATACGTACCAGAAAATCTCCCTAAAAAGTATTCCTTTGTAACAATTAGATCACTCTTACTATAATTGAATGGACAAATCTCTTTTTTCCATAAATAATGAACATATCATATTATATCAATTTAGGACATTTGAATTTTTTTTATTAGGGATTTGGCGCTATCACAAAAATTAATAGCAACTCTCTGTTTTTTTTTTTTGGAGCTTATTATCTCTGAATTAATTCATGACATCATCTCGTAATTTTTTTTTGTCGTTTTGCATTAGATGTCGTTTCTTATGACATTTGTGTTGTTGTATTAATCTTGTCATTTTGCACGTCGCTTTTCTGAAGCCACTAAACCGGTCTCTCTTTTGTATCGGTAATCATCGTTTTCTTAGAAAATGTCATTTCCCATATTTTACAAAAATAAAAGGATATTAGATCTAACTCAACCTAACAAAATTGACTTGTTAGGGAATGATTACCCTCACCTTATTAAGTGGATCATACCAATATCTCCAGCCAATGTGAGATTCTAATACGCCCCCTCACGCACAGTATGGACTATGCTAAACCACTGTGAATATGTCGATATTGGGGGACCCAATATTACAAAACTGGATCTGCTCTGATACTATTTTACAGAAATTAAAGGATATTGGGCCTAACTCAACTTAACAAAGGGAAATAGTAAAAAATAGGCCAATATGAAAAGCTTAAGAAAGTATATAGGCTAATTTTTAGTTATAAAAATTAATAAGCCATGATTTGTCAAGTTATGATTCATAACAAGATAAGTTATGGACAAACTTGTCAAGTTATGGTTCATAGCCAGACAAG